CCTCGCGCTCTCCATACCGGGTCCTCTGGCTGCGACGAAAGTCATACAATTCTCTGACACATCTACCGAAACCGCCACAGCTTCTCTAGCGGGCAGGTGCTTAAGGGAGAGGAGATTGATAATCTAGGAGACATTCTCCCGAAAAATCACACCTGCAAAGCTAGCACAATCGATTCCCAGCAGTGTCCTTACCAAGCCTGATCAATCGCTTCACGCAAAATGGGTACGCCAGAAGGGAGGCAACCGAACTCTGGGGTTTCTAGCCCCTCTTTCCTCCCCATCTACCGTACAGAAGATCATGGAGCTGGTCGGCAGCATTCAAAAGGCCAACACAATGATCAGGCGTCTATCCGAGGATCGCTTACTAGGCGCGCGAAAGCTTGGTCGCAGCAAATCAGGGGTAGTGGCACGAAATAGGCTTCCACTGGGGACCAATTCACCGACCCAAAACTCATGGCCAGGCCGACCGTGATCATAGCCCCCTGTGCTCCCGAAAGCAGGCCAACAAGACCAGTCGTGTCTCTGGACAGCAGTTTTTATTCGACTACCAGAAGCCTCTTGTCCAACAAAGGCTGTAATGCCCTGGAGGAGGCAAACCTCACATGCAAGCGGCGCTCAAATTATGTAGAGCTATCAACGCTTATCTCCGTAACTGACGACAGAGGTGCAGCCATGAACTCTTCACCAAAGCCACAGCCTCTGAACTGGACTGATTCGGACGTGCGGGGACAAGCAGCGAAGCTAATCTCCAGCTCCACTCCGTCAAAAGTGGTCTCTACTTGTGGACACAACCACCGCGCAGGATCCCGACAACCTAAGCCACAAACATGACTGCAGTTAGCCGGAAAATCCCTTGTACATCCAGTTGGCCACGCTGATCGCCGGCGGATCGGGTTTCCAAACAAACATGAGAGAAGAGCGACTGCAGCCAAACAAGCCACCTAAAATTCGCCAGATTTGAAAACTGCTAGCTGGCTCCAAGCTGTAGTCCTCTGCGAAAACGAACCTCTTGGGTGCGCCACCAAGAGAATCACTTCTTGGTGCCGCCAGTCAGCGCTTAGGGCCTCACAGCGACACTTTTCCGGCCAAACCGCGCCAAAACACCCAAGAATCCAGGAAGCGAAAGTTTGCCGCAACTCTTTGAACATCAGCAAATCTGGTCGCCAGAAAGGTGGTGCTGAATGAGCTACAAGCAGCAAAGACTGAAATTTTCGCCCAGGGGGTAAAAACTCCGTCCCTTAAAGCTAAAATGCCCGAGCTAACCGGGCTCTCATAGGGCGGAAAAATCTTGCAAGCGAAAAGCATCCCCGGAAACCATATAGACGAGAAGCAGCCAATATTGCCCCAGAGGCCGGTTTGGGGTTTCGGACTCAAACGCGGTGCACAACTATTAAGTCTGCTAACTACACTGGTCAACTCAACTTTCGGCTCCTCACCGTCGGAGGCAGAGGAGGCTGTGTTGAAATGCTTGTCCACAAAGTGCCTCAGCCATTTCAACAAACTGGGCGATGTTAAAAAGTCAGCTTGCCTTGTACAACCGTCCATAATCGCACTCACAGAGATCTGGCTCACACCAGATGTCTCCGACGCGAAGATCCCGATACACGGTTACTCTATTGTTCGAGATGACTCAAAACGACGGAGGGCTGATGGTGTTGCTCTGTGTTTACATGCGGCCCTAGCAATCCCGATCGTCCTCTCTGACACCACTCCTGCACCCTTTCGAGATGCACCGTGAGTCCAAATCCCACTGCGCGGGTCAGATTCTCTCCTTCTCTGTGTAATCTATCGTAGCCCTGGAGTCCACCTGAAGATGACCAATTCCTCATACAAACCATCGAGCAACACTTTCAACTACCACTTCACTCATCTGCATCGCTTACTAGGCGCGCGAAAGCTTGGTTGCAGCAAATCAGGGGTAGTGGCACGAAATAGGCTTCCACTGGGGACCAATTC